GTGGAATAAACGACACCGGAGAGTGTCTCGTGCAAAATGGCCGCCACGTTTAGTTGACTCTTCCTAGTGCCCGCTCCCCTAAAGATACCACAGTCAAGGACAAGAACGGATTTGTTAGTAGTGTCAAGTTGAAGACGAAAACTGCTACTTTAGTTTGCCCTGTATAAACAAAGCTGTGTCTTCTAGTTGAAGGCAGTGCTGAGCAGTTGTCAGTATTTACAGACGTATTCTTATGCATTGTATCCACCACGTGTTCAAGTGTTAGTTTAAAGATAATAGTAAAGTTTGACCTTGTTTATTGGTATCATGTAATTACTTATTGATTAATAACCAATTGAAGGGCCGGTATGTAGCGGCCAAACTCAGATAGATTTCTTATTTTTTGCCAAGTGAGGGCGCTGTACCGGGAAGAATGTAGCTAAGCAAAAAAGCAACATGGCTTCAGCTCGATCTCGATAGTGTTTGCGACTTGTGTAATTCTTCGCCCAAAGTATTAATCTGGCCTAGGTTTATTAAATGGTTCGTTACTCTTAAATAATTTATATCAATGATTCAGTGATTAGTGTGATATTTAGTGATATTTTGTAAGCCTAAAAGTTGTATTTTCAATACGTGTATTTTAAAAAAACATACCTTTAAGTTTGGACATTTGTGTGCATGTATATATAGTACATGTACATGTAAGTGATATGTAATTTGAGCTGATTCTTTAAATTAGATTACACAAACTCTGGATAATTTATTGTAACACATAATTTTATTTTCTGTTTTATTGTAGTCAATCTGTGCCTGTACCTGAGCCTGACATGTGTTCGACTACCAAAACTGTAAGAAGTTGTACAAGACAATATAATGTTCTGGATCTGCGCACAGCATTTTAGTCAGTAATCTTTGGCAGATTCAATTACGTCACTGAATTTTGCATACTAGTAATAAACACTCAAAAAAAATACACAAGTTGTGTAAAGTTTAACCATGTTTTATAGGTATAATACGAACTCGCTGTAAAAAGTTACATAATGCGTGTTGGGTTAAAGTTTTCTTAACAGTTGTGTAAACGTCTACTTGATGTACGTGTAAATATATTTACACATTTATAAGGTAAAAGACAATTAAGTAAACTTTACATAACTTTCAGGTGAAACAATACTATCATGTAAATTGTGTTTTGTAAACGTAAACAACTACAGAAGCCATCAAAACACGACCTGTTTCATTCAAATTTTATTAATTTCCTTCCCGAAATGTGCAGCATATCACAGCATTTCCTCAAGCTCTTTGTAATTGTTATACCGTCCCCGACCCAAAGCAGTTCTCGGACATTTTGCAGGATAAGATACACAGTACAGGATGCATAACACATCTCTTCCAGAATTAATTGTCCCATAGGTTGTTATTATTTCCTTTCATCATTTTGTATTATACACTTTAATTGTTTTCTTGTGTAAAGCGTTGTGATACCAGTTTGTGTAAGAATGCTATATAATTGCCCTGATTATTATAATTATTATTATTATTATAACCCATGCCCCACAGCTCGGCCACGGCGAGTATGCACGCATGAATATATACGTGTACCATTGGCGGATCCAGCGGGGGGCGCAGGGGAGGCAGGGGGCGCACGCTGCCCGGCAAATATTTCAAAATGTATACTATCGGTGAAGAACGGACGGTGATCTGAAGGGCCAGCCGTTTTGAGTTTGAGGAAGAACAATCCGTCGGTTGCACCACGAACCGACGTATCGCATTTTTTTTTGAGTTTCGAGAAAAACGGATTTAAAGTTGGTCATTATTTTGTAGGCTCATTACATTTACATGTACTCCCCGTGTAAGCGAAATTCAAGCTGTTTCGTTTATGCTAGTAAATTATAGATTACACTTTATTGTATGCAATCCATGTGCATCTGAGTTGCTAAGTTTTTGAGAAATTCAGCTCCAAAGTTATTCGTCACTTCGTGAAACAGATTTTTATCATGTTTATCGTACGTCATACAAAGCGCTTAATAGTGGCCGTTTGCCAGATACGGAAATACGTCGGTTCGTGAAACGCTGAATTCAAATTTTTTATGTCGACGGTCCTTTGTGACGTCATAGCACTGTGGGAATAAGCGTGTAAAGCGGCGTATCGGGATACGCCCCTTCGTGTGCAGTATTTTTCATTTTTTTTCTAGAGCTATGTTGCACAGCCTAATTAGCGTTCTTAGTTAATTAGAACTCCGATCAGAATAAAAGTTTCGGAGAATGAGCACTTTGATGAAATAATAACGTTAATGACAAAACTCAATCTGGCAAAAAATCGATATAAGCCGGTTCGTGGTGCGACCGAAAAGGCGAGGCAATTTTCACGCAAACTGTAGTGGAGTCTCATTTCGCGTATTTGTTTTTATCGCGTCATACGTCCATGGGACTGCACGCGGACAATTGCCGCGTACAATGCGTATGAAGGTCAAACCGTTTTCACGCTCCGGGCTCGGTGACTTAACAAAATCAAACAATGGCCACTTCAGATTCTGTTAAAATATCTTGTTTCTGATACGTTTCATGCCAGTTTGTCACACTCCCCAAAAATGCACCAGCTGTAATGAAATATTTAAATTCATGTCAGTTATGTGACCAAGCGCGGAACAATTACAAATTATGTGCATGTTCTCAACTTTACGGTTTGAATACCGAAGAAACTTTGTAAGAGCAAGAGAATAAAGGCCTTTATGTATTTGAAACAAATGAAATAAAATATGCTCTCATAATTTTAAAAACGTCTACTAAAAACTAAAAAAAAATCAGGGGAAAGTGGCCCCTCAGATTGCACCACAGAGCATGTAGAATCCAAAATGTTCCCGGGCCCTAAGTGGGCCCTGGACCCCTCGCCGTAAGGGTTTCGCGCTCCGCGCTCGCGTTAGTCCTCCGGCCAAATCCTCTATGCTATAATTTCACCCTAGCGGTGCCTCCTACTTTTTTGTACCTTCAGCAGTGAATGGCTGAGGGTCGGACTACTAGTGGCCTAAAATCCCTTTCCAAACTAACATTTGTGAAAATAATACGGAGATGCAACAAGGTTCTCAACTTTGAGTTCATAACAAACTTTATAAGCACAAAAAACTAACAAATTTAAATGGAATTTTCGATGTTTAAAACGTTTTCTAATCGGTGGAAAGTGGCCAGGAATCGCCTCAGATTGCACCACAGAGCATCTAAAATGCGAGTTGTCGCACACAGGACAACTCGCGAAAGAATGTTGCAACCTGGCGCCACTTCAGTGGCTGTTTACAAAGTCTATGGAGAGTCTAGACAATTTTCTAAGTATTTACTAACAAAATTGAAAATGTTTCTCAGTCCCAGATTCATGGCTTATCATCGCGGCGTCAGGTTATTCTTTCCACAATGGATACGTGGACAAATTCGTACGCGGTCCAACTCGTACACAGAATTAAACTCGTTTAGAAAATTATATGTGGTCGACGATTCTTGACTGTGTACTGGGAATGGTGTATCATTCAATTTCTTTAAATTGGCTAATTTTGGCCGGCATACAAGTTTGCTGGCGTACGAGTTGGACCGCGTACGACATGTACGAGTTGTCTCGCTATAAAGTTGGTTCACGTACGAGTTGTATAAAACGAGCAGTGGCCGAGTTAAACACTTCTAGTATTTAGATTATCCTGGTTTTTTTATCGTACAAAGTGTCCATGCATTTCTGGGGCTTGGGGACGGTATAACAATCACAAGAGCTTTTGAAAATGTTACCTTCAAAGACCGAAATAAGCTGCGGCACATCCCCTCGTTGTTATAGACGTCACAATGTACTCCATTCTCACTTATGCTGTGCTGTGCTAGCTGCACCGCGTCACCGCGTGTTCGTTTTTACAATGGTTTTTAGCACGTTTGTTCTAATTGCAGTACGTTTTTACATAATGAAGGTAAACTTACTGCTTTACTCATTTAGTTTGAATTTTTCAATTAACATGGTTTCCAAGTATTTTTTTTCCGGCGAATTTTACCGAAGTTGTGTATTATTTTACATAACAATTTTTACCTCATTATTTTTTACATATCTTTTTGAGAGTTTAGTTTAGGCAACTGAGCCTTTCTTTGTAATATGTGACGTTTTTTGTTCTCATTTTTAAGACGTCAAGATTACGGTACACTTTTTTTGGAAATGTTATGTATTAATCTATGATCTGACAAACCAATTACAAAAATAATTTTAAACTTTGCTTGTTTTGTTCTCGACATATGCAGATGAGATGATAATTGGAAAATCAATTTAAAAAAGTCATCATGACGTCACGGATCTTGCAGTCTGCGGCTCTCTTAATTCTCGGAGTTAATTCTCTTAGATTTGTTAGCTCTATAAATAGCGTTGTTGCTCTCGAATGCTTTGATCAATCTCTCTCTGCCCACATGTTAATACGAGGCGACTTGGTTTACGCTCAACTGGCGAATCAAAACAATTTCGGCGCTTAAAGTTCGTCAATTAGAATTACAACAGTCTGCAAGAATAATGGTGGTAGCGCAGACGAGAAAGTCCTTGACAAGGGATCATTAAGTGAGACAACTTTCATTATTGATCATGCTTGTAACTTTTAAGCGCAGGAGTATAACTGTAAACTATGTACTCGGAAGAAAACATGAGCAGAAAAACGTTGTTTGATCTTTGAACTCGCACGCATATCAGACTCGATAAAGGCGCCGTCAAAAAGTTAAAGGTCACGCTACAAGCATTTCATCCCACAGGTTGACTGTAACACAGGTTTTCATCACGTTTGATTTCCAGTTTGTTATAAAGATTTTGTTTATGTTTTTAATTAAGGGAAAATGAAACACTTGCTATTTTCAGTCATTTGCAAATCGATCTTTTGAACCACAGGCTTCGCTGACCTACATCGGTCTAAAAGAGATAATCACGAATAATCAAGGATCCTCCAGAGAATCTGTAGAGTCATGGTTGTCAATAATATATGAACCTGGAATGACAATTAAACATAAGAACAAATACTTACTGAGTAAATTGCAAGTTTGCAATCACGATGACTATTGCGTACAAGAAAATCATGGTTTCCAACTGCTGCCAAATCAGGCATTCGTCCTGAAAGAAAAAAAAATAAAATTGTGGATAATATAAACCTCTGCTAAACGGTGTGATAAGGTGTGAGCTTCTATACGTTCGAATGTTTGTGTTTCGATAATATCATGAGTATTTTTGAAGCCGTAATTTCAGCCGGCAACGTCTTATCAAGTCCATATCGCTTCCTCGATAATTGACCTAACATCAAATATATACGAGAACACGGGTACAGTCCTACTTCTACTTATCACTAAGGAATTCATACTCTGCTTTCGCACACATGTTGTATATCAGTGTCTTTCTGCAAGGCCTTGCAATTACCTGGAAGGTGCTGTACGTGGATATGAATTCTTCATAAGGACTCCTCCCGTATTGAAGATAGTTCGGTTGCAAGACTTGTTGCTGTTCCACAGACTTTAGACTAGTATGTGACTGCAAGTACTTCCTGCTGGCGGCAGCGCTGTATTACAGCGCATTGTATTGCTGGCTGACATTGCTCATTAAAAATGTGACTCTTTTCTCGTGTGGACTTGGGGAGTGAAGTGCTCAAACATAAGAGACCCGCAACTCGACGCATGCGTAGTTCCCAGCCAACCGAGCCATTTTGGAGTAACCCAAACCGTGTTGGTCGTGGCGTGTATTAAAAGGCTTTCAACTGTATGAAAGAGACAGGCTTTGGGGTACGTTTTCCTCTGATTCTGCGACAAGTCGGTAAGTACCGAAGTTAACCTAACATAACATAAGAACACGTCCAGTGGTTAGAAACCTAAGACAATACTATGCACTATTTTGATACAGTTCGAAGTAATTAAGTTGTTGTGCAGTTTTTCCTTTTTAAATTTTTTCATCACAGCATTCACCTTTTTCGTAACAACTCCTGTGAATATGTATATTTTGATCTAATTATTTTTAACTTACAAAGCTTTGCATGGTTTATCCCCACACTATACTAAATCAGCTGTCGAATGGCAAGGCCATAGGATCCCCATGGGATCCTATAGGAAACACATGGAAATTTAAGGATTCTCATGGCGGTCACTTAAAACACCAAGGCAGTCTTTTAAAACACCATGGTGCCCCATGCATGGGAACACCATGCACAGCTAAAGAAACATCATGGTGGAAAACCATGGGCAGCTATTGTAACCCCATGGCGCCACCATGACGTCTCATAAACCACCAGAAATGCACCATGGAGGTCTGAAACACCACCATGACATTTTGGGGTGACCACCATGGGGGCCATGGTGACCGATGTTGACGCCATGGGAATGCTTTTGTACACAATGGAATTTAGAGAAGATAGATGTGCTTTGTAAACACCATGGCGGTGCCTATATATACCATTTAAAGCATGGGTGACGTCATGGACATTTTATTCAGGCCATACATATAATCCCTCGTGAGGATTCATGGGAACACCAAATTAATTGGCATTTTGATTTAATTGAATGGATTTTCCCATCTGGTCCCGGGGGTTAATTAAAAAGAAAACATCTTTATGCATGCTGACCACCAACTCATGGGAACCAGCTAGCATTTCAACCATACGAACACTATGCGTGATAAACTCCATGGGGATAAACACCATTGGGATGATCACCATGGGGATGATCACCATGAGGAAAAACACCATGGGGATGAACACCATGGTGATGAACACCACGGGGATGAACACTATGAAGACGAACACCATGGGAACACCATGGGACATGTTTTTGAGGATTGTGTCAATTAAGACTGTTCTAATTGCATTTTTTTCTGTTGATAAGTTAAGTCAAATGAAGTGTATTTTTATGTGGATATTAGAACATTGCATTAATGTGAATAATTTTAATTCAGTAATCATTATTGAAAAAAAATTATTATGAGAAATAAATTGGGAATACTGTGATAATATGGTACCGGTAGCACCTGTTAAGTGGAAGAGGAGCCATAATATAATCATTATTCATAGAGTGCTAAACGCTCCCTTAACTGCCGTACTATGGGACAATCCCAGTGGAGTATCGTGATGGCCACTCCCCATTGGGTGAACAGTCTAATTCACATAAATGGGGTTAAACAATGTAAATATAGGATATTGTTATGGAAAGGTACTGGGGAAATATTGGTATCCTCATAATATGGTATTCTGAAACCAGCTATGGGAAAAACCCCATAATAAAAATTCCATGGGAAAAATCCCATAGGAAAAATCCCATGCTACAAGGGAAACTCATGTGGCACTTGGAAAAAAAATACAAGATTACCGTACTATACGCAGTGGGACTCAACAGACACAGTACAATAAGAATCGAAAGTTTCATCATAACAACATTTTTGCTATGGTGCTATTTTGGATATGTTTACTATTGAAATCAAAATAATCAGTAACTGTCATGAAAATGAAAATCCCCAGCTCTTCTGATGGTGGAGCTAGTTATATCTATGGAGTAACAGTTCTCATTCCATTTTGCTATAAGACAATTCTCGACTAAGCCAATTGTAGTGCTCAGTTTGATGGAGGCATATTTCAGCTACCTGTGGGTGTATCGTACTTTTCTGCCTTTCTCCACGAGCCTTATACTCCCAACTTCATTACTATTATTAATCATGGTTCATTTTACAGCCAAAACGCCGTATAACAATTTCATTTACGTTCATTACACTCTAAAAAATCATTAGTCAGATTTGACTAGAAACCAGTCAAATTTGACTAGCCATTCAGGGTCAGCGGGTGCAACTGAAAATCAGTCAATCTGACTAGATTTTTCCAGTCAGTATTATTGACTTGGGAAAACTAGTTATGCCAATAACTGAATTTGGAGTCGAACCCAACAACTTTTTCTAGTCATAGTATGAAACTTTACATGTTTAACTAAATTCCTAGTTAATTTTCAATAACTAGGAAAACCAGTCAATATTTTGACTAAGTTGTTTTTAGAGTGTACCTTCAAACGACTTGTTTTACATTCAAATGTATCTATACATGTGAATTATTAAAATACATTAACCCTAAAAGGGCCGGGGAAATCTGCCCCCCCCCCTCAACTTTTTCCGCGATTGAAGAAAATGTTTCGCTACCCGAGCTAAGGCCAAAAAAAAAGTCTCCGGTTTCTGGTATGGAGCTTGCCCCAAAAGTGGTGCGGCGACGCGGCTTTTTTTTTTTACCTGTTTTTTTTTGCCCGACTAAACTTAGTGCAAATATATGGGAGTCCAGAGAGGCCACATAAATCTTATTCTCGATCATAACCCCATCTAAAAACACGTTAAAATTGTGCAGCAGTAGAATTCCACTCAAACCAGTGAGTTTGGCGGTTTTGAAACATCATCTTGTATTGAAAAAAAAACTTTTGCATTTTCCCGTCGCGCATGGCTACGGCGCCGCGCGCGCATACCAGAAACCGGAGACTTTTTTTTTTTGCCTAATCTGACCTTTTAGCCTCGAGTCTTGCGCATCTTTTGATACCCAAAACATAAAATTCGGAGCACGGGTTGCCGAGCAGCAAAAACTGTTCCGCCATGAAAACTGATTTTCCCCATATACGTAGTGTATACAAAGCAGAATTACCATTCGTGCATATGAATAATTAACTAGCCATAATTCCAAAACCCTTTGACCTATAGTCAATAATTTTCTTGGGTGTGTTCAAGATAAGTTTTTCTATGCATGTATTAAGATTTAAAATTCGTCACTCGATGGCCGAAATATTAGGGGCGGAATCCGCCCCCGGCTGTGAGATGGTCAAAATACCCGGCCCTTTTAGGGTTAAAGGTTAGAAGTGGTAAAATACAGAGAGGAGACATATACTGCGTTATAAACTTTCATTACCATAAATGGCATGAATAGAAAATATATATAAATAAACAGAAAATATAAACACAAACATTATAAAAACAACATTTGAATACCCATAACTCAATGGGGAGAGAAGAGGAAGAAAAAGTGGTCCCATCCGTACTCTTATGTCGTACCCCCACTTAAAACACTAAGTCGACAAGGACACTTCAAATCTACAAATCCCTTCCAGTCTGCACCCCCAGGAAACAAAAACACAACCAAAGACCAATAAGAAAAATAACAGTTTACCAAATCAGAAAGCCGAGGTGATATTTCCTTCTTTTTTTTTAAATTTTCTCAGCTTATATTGGGCTACATTTGTACCTTCTTGTCTACCTTTTGTACCTTCTTGTACCTTCTTGTCCTATACATCACTATGAAGTGCTCAGATGGTCATTATTCCATAATCCATTATTCTTAATTCGAGCAGCCAGTCTTTGAATTTGTTGAAGGTAAGGGGCCATTCAAAATTTTCAATGTTTTTAATTTGCATTTTTTTTTCCAAATTGTGGGTGGGTGGGTCAAGGTAAATAATTGAAAATCCAAATTCACTTTTCATAAAAAAGCAGGAAAAACAAAAATCGAGATTTTGACTTGCCTACGCACCAGCGTTCCTTGCGTGCGTTTATTTTCTAACTTCGTCCGCAATACAGGGTGAGTAAAAAAAAAATGAAATCCAAATGTCAGGACCATTGTGAAGTTCTGCTTGAAGCACTTTCAAAATCTAAGATATAAAAGCCCAATTCATAAGCTTTCTCTTAGTACAAGAATAGTTCAAATCACTTAAGTACTTTTCAATTTACGGAATTTTAAACACAACTACCCTTTTAAAGTTCTCTCCACAGAGCACAAACAAAAAAAGGGTGCGTTCTTTCAGCAAAACGAAAACTATTCACATACAACCCTATGTGATTTGTATTGGTTTTGCTGAAAGAACAATTTCCTTTTTTTTTTTTGAACCGTGGACGGAACTTTAAAACGGTGGTTGGTTTAAAATTCTGTAACTTGAAAAGTACGTGAGTGATTTGAATGATTTTTGTACTAAAGAAAGCTTATGAATTAGGCTTTCATATCCCAGATTTTTAAGGTGCTACATGCAGAACTTGTACAAAACCAAGGGGGTCCACGATTGCGGTGTTTACAAATGTGTGTGCATGCTCGTGCATGTACCGGTACACGAATTGCATGACAAATCATATTTGTAAATCAAAAATAGGGATGGGTGGGTGGGTCAAAACAATTTTGGAAAAAAAATGCAAATTTAAAAGCATTGAAAATTTTGAATGAACCCTAAGCACTGATTTTTCAAAGCTGGAACACACATGCTCTCTGCACAATGTGATAGTAAGTTATAGGAAAATATTTCACTGTATTGCCAATTTATAAGACAAGATGTAAAAACCTGGGGGTGTAATTTTTTCCTGACACTCTTCTTGCTTTTTTGATAAACTGTCGGAGTTGCCAGACAGATTGTTGCATAATCTAGGGGCTCTACGCGATGTTACCAAATACCTGTGTTCCCCAAAACCCTTAGGGTAAGGGTTAGGGTTAAGATTAGGGTCAGGGTTAGGATTAGGGTAAGGGTTAGGGTTGGGGGGACATAGATATTGGGAAATATAGGTATGCCCCCTATTCTAGTGTGGGTCTGATACACATTGATTAAATCGGAAATAGAAACACCACTACGTTTTCTGTGACTTAAGAAAAACAGTCAGCAACTAAGACGTGTTGTACAAAAATAGTCAATCTGTTTGTCCCACTTTAGCTTACTTTTAACTAAACACACACTGGTAATTTAAAAAAAAAAATCTATGTATATCGATGAGTGAGTCACCGATTCGAAGGGTAAGAAAGTTACACTTAAATGTATTAAGCTTTATGT